AGAAAAAGTAGCTAAAATCATCATTTTCTATGGGTTTCAGAAGTTACGTTAGACATTTTTGCGGTGCAATTTCGGAACCTTTCCGTCCTTCACTGCCATGGGGATTTGCCGCTGGGAGTGGTTCGCTCTTAGGCGTCGCAGCTAGACACCAGCAGCAGCAGCTGCAGCAGCAGCAGCAGCAGTAGGGATCCGTCCTTCACTGCCATGGGGATTTGCCGCTGGGAGTGGTTCGCTTTTAGGCGTTGCAGCTAGCCACCAGCAGCAGCAGCAGCAGCAGCAGCAGCAGGAGTGTCTTCAGCAGCAGGAGAAAAAAGTAGCTAAAATCATCATTTTCTATGGGTTTCAGAAGTTACGTTAGGCATTTTTGCGGTGCAATTTCGAAGCTTTTCCGTCTTTCACTGCCATGGGGATTTGCCGCTGGGAGTGGTTCGCTTTTAGGCGTCGCAGCTAGCCACCAGCAGCAGCAGCAGCAGCAGGAGCGTCTTCAGCAGCAGGAGCGTCTTCAGCAGCAGGAGAAAAAAGTAGCTAAAATCATCTTTTCTATGGGTTTCAGAAGTTACGTTAGGCATTTTTGCGGTGCAATTTCGAAGCTTTTCCGTCTTTCACTGCCATGGGGATTTGCCGCTGGGAGTAGTTCACTTTTAGGCGTCGCAGCTAGCCACCAGCAGAAGCTTCAGCAGCAGGAGAAAAAAGTAGCTAAAATCATCACATCAGTTTCTATGGGTTTCAGAAGTTACGTTAGGCATTTTTGCGGTGCAATTTCGGAACCTTTCCGTCCTTCACTGCCGTGGGGATTTGCCGCTGGGAGTGGTTCGCTTTTAGGCGTCGCAGCTAGACACCAGCAGCAGCAACAGGAGCGTCTCCAGGAGCAGGAGAAAAAAGTAGCTAAAATCATCATTTTCTATGGGTTTCAGAAGTTACGTTAGGCATTTTTGTGGTGCAATTTCGAAGCTTTTCCGTCCTTCACTGCCATGGGGATTTGCCGCTGGGAGTGGTTCGCTTTTAGGCGTCGCAGCTAGCAACCAGCAGCAGCAGCAGCAACAGTAGGAGCGTCTTCACCAGCAGGGCGCGTTCGGAAAACAACCCACCCCCCCCCAACCACAAACAGGCCCCACAACACGGCTGCCCTTTTCTTCGCTCCCGTCGTGTCTATGGTCCCCCTCAGGGGAGCATACTACTTGCCAACATTTTGTTCCACATCTTTTCCCGTTTGGTTTTTTGTGCGCTACCCGTATGCGGCCAAAGCGTTTCGTGCTTTGCACTTCTGTTAAACATGATGGACACTGATGTGTGAAAAAGCTCTGAATCACTGTGCCACCGCGAACACGGAAGCGGACACCACAATGCTGTTGTTTCGCATCAACTTGTCCATCAGTGACAGTACTACGGACCTGTGTCTCACAATGAGGACATATATATTCATACAGTAGACCGGCTTTCTCTGCGAGATAGTGGGCCCTGCTGTATTTTCAACGCATTTTTCAACAGGAATCGTGGTGCGACTACGTTTCCGAGCAATTGCTTCCCATGTCTCCTGGATAATTTGCCTGTGGCGCAATCTTTTCATATTTCTTAAGTTGGTACCAAGATTTCCCTGCTTCAACAAGTAACCAAATGTAGCTAATCCACCATACTTGCTTCCGGGGTCGGCGGCAGGGGCGGCAGCCCTTAAATATGTATGACATATGTCATTTATACAGTACATCTATGTATTTGGTGATGATTTGCTTTTCGATCTTTTTTGGGGATGACTATACTACGTATATCTACGTATACTAACAAATTGCCAAGGCACCCTTCTCAGTACAGATTTCAACGTCCGCACGCCTTTCACAAAGGAGTTTCACCGCCTCAGCCTGAAAGCCTTCGACCGCTGCAACCACCGGTGTCAGTCCCTCCTGGCCGTTGAGATTTCCCATGATTTCCCAATGCCATACACCATCCCTAAGTCATCACCGCTGTATAAACCATCCCCAACTGATAGGTTTATATTATGTTTATCATTGGGCTCACCATGGCTGAATGTCCTAAAAATGTTGCTAAGATCTCTAATTGGATTTTCATCATACTTCACGGACTCTTGCGGCAAAAACCGTGTATGGTAAAGGCTGCCTGTCATTTGTTCGAAACAGTTTTTGTTCTTGAAGCCTTGTTATTTAAGTTATTTCAGATCTAGAGATGTGGAGGAAGTAAAATGGTTCCCTGCCACCCACCCAAACGACTCACCAAACAATAGACATCTTCGTACAGCCTTGCTTTGCGCGTTCACATTGGCCTCCCAAACTACAAAATGCATCAAAATGAAGCCATTGGCAATACAAAGCGGTTACATCTCACAAAGCGTCTTCAAATGAATTATCATGAGGATTGCTCCCTCAATTGTTTGAAAGTGCTGCACAATGAAATGCCCTGAAAGATTCCTAAAAGGGTTGCCATGGTCGCCAATGAAACGTGAGGTGCACTCTGCAGGTCTACCAGCAACTTGTGGCATGGATCATTTTTCGGCCATCCTGCCTCCCCTTGCAACAGAAGCAAGACGATGGTGCTAGCAATATCATTATCCTGGGAAACTCAGACTGCACAGCGGGAAGAAGTGATAAGAAGTGATCTCTGACAAATCAGTAATTTCCTAAATCTCACTGCTACACTGAGACACTGGTTCCATCTGGTTCCACTGGTGGTAGGGATGTTCCAAATGTGCTAAGGATCCCTATATTATCACCTACTAGAATCATCCTCAGCGGGGAGGACACCTGGGGTGGAGCTCCTGCAAAGGTCCTTCACTGGACCATGGTATCGACTGTGCAAAGATAATCAAAGATGTACCAAGTTTCCAGGATGAACATGGATGAACTGGATCAGAGATGATCAGAGTACAGCTCAATCAGAGTACCCTCTGGTAAACTAACATAGCTATGGAAAATCACAATAAATCACCATTTTCAATAGCTATGTTAAATTACCAGAGGGTAATTACAATGGGCGACTCGTGCATCTTCGTGCTCTCTCCGTCCCACCATTCCATATATTCCATGCACCCACAAAAAAGGCCCATGAATCCACGCTGTGCTGACCATGACTCCATTAAATTCATGGCTGCATGCAGGGGGGTGGTATCATCATCGGCCGCCACATTCACGTCAGCCCGGTGCCTGGCTCCACGCAGGTGGTATTTCTCCAGGGGGCCCTGGGGTGATGGGGGGCTGTGAATATCTCTGGGCACCTCATCAAATACTCCACCAACTTGTGGTCGCCGTTGAACACACTGCAGTGCACCTGGAGCAAATTGCCAACTCAATGAAGCCTAATGAAGCCTCTCCGAGCTCGTGTCTTCCCATATGACTCTTGGGGATCTGGCAGCTCTAAAGGTAACCTTACGTGATGCTCCCAAACTCACTTGCCAGCTGCATTTTGTCACCAATTATCATGCCCCAGCTGACCAACTGAGCACCAACTGAGCAATCTTGATGGGCTGGATGGCACATGGATGGCACGCTTCTCCCAGAACATGTGGAAGATCTCCGGTGCGTCCCCCACCTGGAACATCCAACCATATCCCTGCAGCCGGGGGCGCTGGAGCAAAGCCACTTTCTCCCAGATTGAGATTTGCGCGGAGTTCGATCAAACTTCTAGCAGCCTTAGTTCAGGCACCTCACCGGCTAGTAAAATGGCCTTGATTATGCAACTGATCACGCAGAATTTACAATGTAATAAGTTATATAACAGCAAAACAATGCAAAACAATATAACTTCTTGTAGCACAACAAAATACATTACGTAACCTGCTATATAGATACAGGGTACGGTATAATTACAGTATTGTATAACCTACACATTGCCTGGGTTTCTACCATGGGTTATCCGTGGTTAGTTCTGCCTGTCCAATCATATCAATCATGAAGTCCTCTTGGATTTCATCCCAGCAACAGCTCAACCCTCGTCACCTGTTTGGCAGCTTCGGACCAAGAGACGCTGAACTCGCCAGTCGCCGCAGCAATTGACAGTGGAGTTGCACCATTGGTCGCACGCGCATTGATGTCAGCTCGATGCGATGCTAGAGCATTCATTGCATCCTTAGGCCCCCAGAGGAGGAACCAGGTTGGGAACGGTCAGCACCACTGACACGGCCACATGGCCAAAGGCAGCGGCCCAAGCATCCTAAATCATCCTAAGCTTCCTGCACCGGATCAAAGCAAGACTTGTGTTGTTTGAAGATGTTAGAAGAACTACCTCCCAACTGTGACTCTGGTCTTCGGCTGCGAGTTTGATGGGTCGAGGGCCGGGGGCTATATGGATCTACATAAAGTCCTATATCATTTGCATGCCAGGAGCTCATCCCGACTTTCTGTGCCCAAGGCATTTCGATCCAATTGCATCCAATTGCCCTTGGTGAGTTGAATTCCCAGATATTCCCAGATTCCCCGGGACTGTCCCCTGTGGATCCCGGTGGTTCCAAGCATCAACTTTCCTGTTTTGAATGGCAATGTGCATGGCCGTGTGCCCATCGCTCCTTTTGGCGTTCAACTTTGCCTTTTGGGACGCCAATCCTGGAGGCCGAAGGATGGCAAGCGACAGCTCAGCAGGTATCACTCCATCCGTGACTCCATGGGACTCCATGCGGCTCCATGGGACTTCAGAATGAAATGAACGGACATTTCATATGACATGATCAATTTCACCGCATTTCACCATGCTTTCGGATGCGGGGTGTTTAGGTGCAGTGGAGCTATCATCACAGATCATCACCAAGCATCTTTGGACCAGCTTGGTCTGCCCATGCTCTGCTGCCAACATCAGGGGCGTCAGCATGCGGTCTGAGCATGGCTGATTCAAATCAGCCCGACACTGCTGCAAGAATTTCATCACTTCCTGGTTGGTGGTATACCTACCCCTCTGAAAAATATGAAAGTCAGTTTGGATGATTATTCCCAATATATGGAAAGTCATAAAATTCATGTTCCAAACCGCCAACCAGCTTCTACTGATCCTTTCTTTGCCGCCACGGCCATGGATGTCAAGCCGTCTGAGGTCACCTTGTTGGGATCCGCCTTGAAGACTCCCAAGAGATCAACCATGGCGGAATGGCCATTCTCAGCAGCGATGAGCATAGCTGTAGCGGCTGCTCCCTCAGACGTTGCCATCCGAGCTTTGTTCACATCTGCCCGAGCTTTGCAAAGTTCATGCGCCACGGAGCAAAGCCCAAACTCAGCTGCCATGGTCAAGGCAGTGTCCTGAACGCTGTCCGTCTTGCTTTGATTCACATCCGCCCGGTATGTGAGAAGAATCTGGATGATATCGGTGAAGCTCTCCCGCGCGGCGGCCATCAGTGGAAATTCTCCTGGAAGTGGATCAATGAAATCAGAGAAATCACCGCCCCTGAAATTACTCAAATCATCTCAAATCTGCCAACCAGTTGAACATCAGATTATTTCCCTAAACTTCTGAATTCTAGCACATCATCCCATCCATCTCCTGTGTGCGAAGTGCTACGCACATTGGCCATGTGCTGACACAGCAATTGTACCAGGTCTGTGTTTCCAGTCTGAGCTGCAAAGTGTAAGGGCGTGGTACCTTGAGGAATGGTCCCATTGATCTGGGCTAAGGCCTGCAAGAGACACTGCACGATGGGGATATGGATCTGCTGCACAGCGGCGATCAGAGGAGTCATCGGCGTCATCCCATCATGGATGTTGCAGAAATCCTGAGAAATCATGGATGTTACAGAATATCCAGGAATCAACAGTTTGATGTTGGATGATGTTGGATGATGTTGGATGATGTTGGATGATGTTGGATGATGTTGGACGATGTTGGATGATTGAAATTTAGGCCTGCATAGAATTTGGGGCTGGGCAATAGCATTTTGGCTGCCTGTTTGCGCTTTTTGCTCCTGTTGGTGATGTTGTGGCATGATGTTGGGCTGATGTGTGGCACTGCGTTTGGGGATGATGTTGGATGATGTTGGATGATGTTGGATGATGTTGGACGATGTTGGACGATGTTGGATGATGTTGGATGATGTTGGATGATGTTGGATGATGTTGGATGATGTTGGACGATGTTGGACGATGTTGGACGATGTTGGATGATGTTGGATGATGTTGGATAATGTTGGATGATGTTGGATGATGTTGGATGATGTTGGATGATGTTGGATGATGTTGGATGATGTTGGATGATGTTGGATGATGTTGGATGATGTTGGACGATGTTGGACGATGTTGGATGATGTTGGATGATGTTGGATGATGTTGGATGATGTTGGATGATGTTGGATGATGTTGGATGATGTTGGATGATGTTGGATGATGTTGGATGATGTTGGATGATGTTGGATGATGTTGGATGATGTTGGATGATGTTGGATGATGCTGGATGATGTTGGATGATGTTGGATGATGCTGGATGATGTTGGATGATGTTGGATATGTTGGATGATGTTGGATGATGTTGGATGATGTTGGATTAATGCTTTATGATGTTGGATTCATGGGTTTGGAGTAGATGTTGGCACTGATGTTGGGATGAGTAGTTGGAGTGATGGGGCTGGCTGATGTTTTTTTGAGATTGATGTTGGATGACATGTTTTGGATGATGCTGGATGATGTTGGAGATGTGGATGATGTTGGATTAATGCTTGGATGAGGCTGGAATGATTTTGAATGATTTTGACAACAAATATACAAATAGTTGGATATGGTTGGATGATGTTTGGATGTCTGGATGATGCTGGATGGATGTTGGATGATGTTGGATTGAATGTTTGGATTAGTTGGATGATGGCGGCTGATGGTGGATGATGTATGGATGATGTTGGAGTGAGGCACTGATAATGCTTTGGACTGATGTTTGGATGATGTTGGATGATGTTGGATGATGTTGGATGATGTTGGATGATGTTGGATGATGTTGGATAATGTTGGATGATGTTGGATGATGTTGGATGATGTTGGATGATGTTGGATGATGTTGGATGATGTTGGATGATGTTGGACGATGTTGGATGATGTTGGATGATGCTGGATGATGTTGGATGATGTTGGATGATGTTGGATGATGTTGGATGATGTTGGATGATGTTGGACGATGTTGGACGATGTTGGATGATGTTGGATGATGTTGGATGATGTTGGATGATGTTGGATGATGTTGGATGATGTTGGATGATGTTGGATGATGTTGGATGATGTTGGATGATGCTGGATGATGTTGGATGATGTTGGATGATGCTGGATGATGTTGGATGATGTTGGATGCAAACCATCCAGACAATGCACACTGACTTGACCCAAAAACCCAGCGGTTCAAGCGTGCTGTTCTTGCGGTGCCACAACAGCATCGCTCCTGAAGTTGCAGGCAAGAATCCACTTGAGCCTGTGCCTGCAAAAGAATCTGAACCACCCCAATGTGCCCGGCCAAAGATGCTAAGAACAATGGTGTAGCACCCAAATGCAGCGAATACTCGATACTCTCCTCAGCCCATGATTCGGACAAGATCGGAAGAGTTCCGTCCAAATCAAGCCACATCAGGATAACCATGGATAACCAATGGATAACCCATCTCCCTCGGGTCCCTCATTTCTATCCTTGGAGAATCATGGGAAACCAATGGAAAGTTCCACAAAAATGGGGCCGAAAGTCAAAGATCACCGCTTCCGGGAGGCCATTGTCGTCCGACTTCTCGCTGGGTTCGGGCTCAGGCGATCCAACATCCTCCTGAAGAGTCTCCTTGTCAGCGTCCTCAGAGGCCAGACTGATCATGACTGATCCAGATATCTGCTGAATCTACAATTGATTCAATTGATTATGAAATTGAAGTATAAAGTTATAGCATGTTATATGCTCACTGTCATTGAACATAAACTGAAATCAACACAAGGTGGAGAAGGCAGTCCTCTGCAAACTCCTCATCACTCAGCATTCCGTTAGTCGAGGTCGAATCCTTCAATTGATCCAAAACTTCTTGAGAAACAGCTTCCTCAGCAGTTCTGTCAGAACTCTCTCATGGAGCAGTGAAGCATCTTCTGCATTTTCCACCATTGAATATCATTTGTGGAGATGCACTGCATCTAACTGAGTGATGGTGATGACTGAGTGATGCACGCGCGTATGTCCCTAGAATTCCCTACATTCTTAGACCTCACAGGGAAGAAATGTGGCTTCCACCTCCTGAAAGGATCCACGAAGAGGGATCATCCATGGATGGAAATGCCACAGGGCTATATAAATTATATAATGAATTTGAGTTTGAGAAGAATGAATCAACTTCATATAATTTCATATAATTTCAACATCCGCTGTTCATGCAGTTCTTACACACTTGCACACCTGAAGCCTCGCCTTGCCCAAAAGATCCCTTGGATCCAAGTGTCGTTCGCATTGGCTCCAGCCCCGCACAAACGCCAAACGATCTGTTCATGGCCATTCCTCGAAGCCACATGCAGCAACAAGCGACTTGTGGTCAGCATCCGGTGCAGTGCTTGTGGTTCGTCTTCGCAAAGAACATCCACCATGTCTCCATTTCCACACAACACCTGCATGGTACTTCATCGTGCTCTCACATGTCAACCGTCACAATAGTAAGTACATGATTCATGATCATGAACAAAGTTGACACTTGAAGCAATCACAGCATCATGACTTGTGAGGTGAAACCCTAAGCCTGCACCAAAATTGGTGGACATCCAGGATGGAACTGCCAGACACCGGTCAAAAAATGTATTAATATGTGTTAATTATGAATCATATAACCTTATAGCTAGGAATAGTCGAGCCCATGCGTCATCGTATGTATGTATGTATGTATGTACGTGTGTGTATGTGTGTATGTGTGTATGTGTGTGTATGCATGCATGCATGCATGCATGTATGTATGTATGTACGTACTTATGTATGTATGTATGTATGTATGTATGTATGTATGTGTGTCTATGTGTGTCTATGTGTGTCTGTTTGTGTGTGTGTGTTTGTGTGTTTGTGTGTTTGTGTGTGTATATGTGTGTATATGTGTGTATATGTGTGTATATGTGTGTGTGTGTATGTGTGTGTATGTCTGTGTATCTCTGTGTATCTCTGTGTATCTCTGTGTATCTCTGTGTATCTCTGTGTATCTCTGTGTATCTATGTGTATCTATGTGTATCTATGTGTATCTATGTTTATCTATGTGTATCTATGTGTATCCATGTGTATCCATGTGTATCTATGTGTATCTATGTGTATCCATGTGTATCTATGTGGATCTATGTGTATCTATGTGTATCTATGTGTATCTATGTGTATCTATGTGTATCTATGTGTATCTATGTGTATCTATGTGTATCTATGTGTATCTATGTGTATCTATGTGTATCTATGTGTATGTATGTGTATGTATGTGTATGTATGTGTATGTGTATGTAAGTGTATGTATGTATATGTATGTGTATGTATGTGTATGTATGCGTATGTATGTGTATCTATGTGTATCTATGTGTATCTATGTGTATCTATGTGTATCTATGTGTATCTATGTGTATCTATGTGTATCTATGTGTATCTATGTGTATGTATGTGTATGTATGTGTATGTATGTATGTATGTATGTGTATCTATGTGTATCTATGTGTATCTATGTGTATCTATGTGTATGTATGTGTATGTATGTGTATGTAAGTGTATGTGTATGTAAGTGTATGTATGTATATGTATGTGTATGTATGTGTATGTATGCGTATGTATGTGTATCTATGTGTATCTATGTGTATCTATGTGTATCTATGTGTATCTATGTGTATCTATGTGTATCTATGTGTATCTATGTGTATCTATGTGTATCTATGTGTATCTATGTGTATGTATGTATATGTATGTGTATGTATGTGTATGTATGCGTATGTATGTGTATCTATGTGTATCTATGTGTATCTATGTGTATCTATGTGTATCTATGTGTATCTATGTGTATCTATGTGTATCTATGTGTATCTATGTGTGTCTATGTGTGTCTATGTGTGTCTATGTGTGTCTATGTGTGTCTATGTGTGTCTATGTGTGTCTGTTTGTGTGTGTGTTTGTGTGTTTGTGTGTTTGTGTGTGTGTGTGTATGTGTGTATGTGTGTATGTGTGTGTGTATGTGTGTATGTGTGTGTATGTGTGTATGTGTGGATGTGTGTATGTGTGTGTGTATGTGTGTATGAGTGTATGTATGTGTGTATGCGTGTATGTGTGTCTGTATGTGTGTATGTGTGTATGTGTGTATGTGTGTGTATGTGTATATGTGTGTGTGTGTGTATGTGTGTGTATGTGTGTATGTGTGTGTGTGTATGTGTGTATGTATGTATGTGTGTATCTCTGTGTATCTCTGTGTATCTCTGTGTATCTCTGTGTATCTCTGTGTATCTCTGTGTATCTATGTGTATCTATGTGTATCTATGTGTATCTATGTGTATCTATGTGTATCTATGTGTATCTATGTGTATCTATGTGTATCTGTGAATCGGAGGTTGTCTCCCCGATTATGTATTGTTGCTTAGTCTTGGGGTTGATGTCCAAAACGACGACGTCACGATGAATGCAGTTTCGGCATGGCGTTGTTTCTCGCTCTTGACATCTGCAGTAGTCTTGAGCCAAAGGGGCATTTTATGCACACCTTTGGTTATGGACGATAGTAGGATGTCTTTGTGGAATTATGTACTGTGCCGTAGCCTACATCCTATTCGCACCCCCCACGCATGGCCAACTTCGTTGGCCACGCGCAAAGGAGTGTCCTTTAAATCGTTCCAATACATCTGCAGCTGTTCATTTGTCGAATTAAGGAGAGCTAAAGTCCGTTTCAGAACTTCCAATCTACATGGCGGCTTGCTACGATCTCTACCAAAAAATATAAAAGATCTGTTCACGTGCATGCAGACACGACGTAGTCGGTGTCTAGCGTTGAGGTTCATCCGATGTGGCGTAGCCAGCATGGATTCCCACTCAAGCATGTGAATTAAAAATCAAACACAAAGATGACTATGGAACTAGAAGTTTACCTTCCCGTTCCTTCGTCGGTTGAGATGTAGACCGCTGTAGAAACTCAGCGTCTCATGCAATGATGTTCAAAAAAAAAATTGTGGTTACAAATTAGCCGGCCCAGAGTCCTCTCAGAAATCATTCGAAATGAAGTAGAGGTAAATCTCGAGCACTGATTGCATCCTCGCATCGCCAGGTTCAATCAGGACCTATGCAGAGGTCAGATCGCTTGATCATCTATATCCCCATCCATAGTATCCCTGATGATTCCAGTCTCCGCCACGATGTGAATAAGATCTTCCACCTTTTCCTTGGTCTTTTCCACCCTTCTTTGGCGGGGTCACTGGAGCTTGTTTTGGCGGAGGAGCGGTTTCAACTGTTCTCCATGTTGCTGACGATGATGCTTTCGCTTTTGACGCTCGTCCCAGTGCTGGTTCTGCCTTCGGGGCTGCTTTCGATTTGCCAGCGGCTTGGTCGGTGCGTTCACGATCAGCAGGAGTTGGGGTATCAGCAATCGCAAGTATGTGAGCTTCTGTCAAGTGAATGCCCCACCTTGGTCGTTGATCTTCCCTTTGCTTGATGTGATTGTAATCATCGATTGCATCATATAGCTTCTGGAGTAGAGGTCGTGGCAATTGTCGGCCATTCTGAAGGATCAGGTGTAAAAGTGAAATTCTTCGAAGTGGTGGACGAAGAGCACACACAATGTCAACTGGGTTCAATGTGATTGTGTCTTGAAAGTCGACGTTCCTGAAGAAATAAACAGCATTTACCCTATATGCACCTGCAATGATTCTTCTGACCAAGACGTCTTGTCGGTCAAGGGCGTCGCGGGCCGCTGTGGTCTTCCTCATCTCGTCCATTGTTGTGTCACGTTTCGACAGCTTCTCCATCTCCTCATCAAAGAAGATGTTCTGCAAGTCATCATACGTGTAGCCACATTCAAGGGTATATACGAGAAGTCGCTTGAGCACTACTGCTCCGTAATAAGCATTGACGAATCCCTCTTCTCCGATGTCGTCCTTTTGATTTGGTCGGCCGATCTCTTTGTAGAGCTCTTTCATCTGTTGTGCAGTTGGTTCAATGAGTTCACCATTTTCATCCTCGCCCAGGTAAGGTGTCCTTGAGTCCAGGTCCATCCTAAATTTCTGGTTCTGTTGAAAATGTTTCCATGCCGTCCCAATGTCTCCACAGAAGTTCCGTTGGAATAGTCTGTAGATCCTGACGATATGTAGTCCCATCTGCAACAGGAGGATCTTGATGAATTCTGGTTGAGCATCTCCAATTGTGCAAGGCTCGATTGGCAGGACCTTTGATCCAAACTCAATCCGCTGCATCCACTTGGGGTACTCAATCTCTGCATCACGAGCTTCTCCAGCCTCGTACTCTTCAATGTTGATCTCATCGACCGCTGTTTCTTCAACATCATTCTCGTCGGTCGGTTTTCCCTCTTGATTGAGAAATTCGTCGACCTCATCTTGCTCTCTGAAGTCTCTTTTCTCGTCATTGATGTCGCCCTTCTTCGAGGCTTGGTCATCATTTTCTTCTTCTGGTTGAGGTTCCTGCTCTGGACTCTTCATGGTGACGTCATCATCACCTGGCATTGTCTCATCATTATCATCATCACCTGTCAAATCGATCTTCACCTCTTCCCATGCTTTCTTGACATGGTCTTTGAGATCTTCTTCTCGATGATGTGATTCGGCTTTTGGTACTGTCGCCACGGTGATTTTGATTCGCTTCCTCCATCCATGACTCACCAAAAATCCTTTGCACATCACACAAATTGACAAAGGCGCAGGGGTTTCCAACAGACATGCGGGGCATAGTCGATGGTCCTCTTTGCTAGGATGATGGGTGACTGCCAACAATGAAATTGCATCATTCCAATCCGGATGTCCAGGGAACAATCTGTGAGTATGACTGAAGTGGCCTGTCCTGATATCGACAAGTTTTCGAAGTTCGTCAAGATCGGGTGATGATTCTTCAGGCACAATGTTTCCAATGAGCTTGTCAAATCGTTCAATGGTGGCCACTCTCTTTGCTCCTTGCACAGAAAGAACAAGTTGATCTCTTTCCTTTGTGATCATGAGACGGTAATAGTCCTTTTCTTTCCAATCATAATACCAAACTGCATCGAATGATTCGAATGGAATTGTTTCTTGGACCAAAATGTGTCCGTCTGCTGACAATCTGGGGGAGAACTTGGCGATGGAATCGTACGTGATGTAGATGTAGACAAGATCAGTTTGATCAATTTTCTTGAATCTCAGCACCATCTGACTTCTAACATCCCACGGCGCGAATGGCACGAAGAACGTATTGATGCGGTCGCCTCCTCCTCCGGGACGTAGTCCTTCTCTGAAGATTTGAGCGATGTTGTCAAATGTGGTGCAGTGAAATCCTCCTCCAATAGTGTATCCTACTCCAGGGTTCATCTGATAGGAAGTCTTCTTGTCTTCGATTTGTACACCGCCTTGAACTCTTGAATGTGCCATAGGAGCTCGGATTGCCACTGGCCAAAGCCAAATCTCTCGATCTGCTGTGCCG